TCTATCTATCTATCTATCTATCTATCTATCTATCTATCTATCTATCTATCCCACTCAGTCTTGAGAAATAATTAACCAGGTGATTTTTCTTTTCTTTTCTTTTCTCCTATCACTTTGAAATGATCCCGAGTTTAAATAGTTGCTTTTCTGTAATGAATTTTGGCGGGTTTTGTTTGAAGTAAGCAATACAGCCAGGAGCAAAGTTTGAACACAGCATTTTGCCATCCGAAGTTGCCCTGCAGATGCTTGTGAAAAATGCACTGCTCTGCATCACGCATCAGAACCTCCCCAAAAATCACTGACTTTGCTTTGGCCGCTCTCTTTTTCAGCTGATGTCAATTTTGCACTGGAACTCAGCGACTTGAGGCATCGCCATGGTTTCCACATCATCCTGGTTCATAAAAACAAAGCTTCCGAAGCACTCTTGCACCACGCCCACGAGCTCATCCGATTTGAAGAGTTTATTTCAGATTTGCCTCCAAGATTACCCTTAAAGAAAACAGTAAGTGACCAATTAATGGTAAGGCTTTGAAACGTCAGGAGGGGCAGAACAGGCATTCGCGTTAAATCAGTCACACAGATCCCACCTGCTTCACCTATTGATTGCACTTGTTGATGTGGAAATAAAGTTGGAAAGGCGAGTAAACAAGTACAGCGTCATGCCCCTGTCGGAATCTGATTTGGAGGGGGAGGCTGAGCAGCTGACGGGGAGTAGGAGTGTGGCTCTGTTGTCTGTGGAAGAAAGGCAAGGCCGGCTGGGCAGAGCAGGGGAGAGATAGAGCAAGGGAGAGGGAATTCGGAGGAAGATCCAGGCCCCACACCCCTCTTCATCCTAGGGCACAGGAATGGAGAAGGGAGCAACATGAGTTGTGTGGCTTACGGGGGAGGAAAGGGCCCTGATTCCCTTCATTAGCTGCACCTGGGAACACTGTTTAAAAAGGGAAGCTGCACAAAGTTGTTGCCAGCAAATCGTAAATTATGTGGTATTGTCGAGGCTTATGTGGGTTCCTGGTGTCTTCCCAACTGTTGTGTGTTTTGCTGGGCTTTCAAGTCTGCAATTCTCCTGCCCTGTCGAGTTAATTACTGCAGCGTGGTTTGGGGGGATTTTTATTTACAGTTTCTATGTACTTCGTTTTTG